AATCAAGAAAAAAAATCTATAACTAGGACACAAAAGAGAAGTTATTAGGTCATTTAATAAAAATTTCTTACAAGTCTATTCTTTTTTTTTAAGTCTATTCTTTCAATTTATAGAGATGCAGCTTTAATCTTGGGACTATGAGATCTATTTTTGTTTGTTTGTTTTATGTTTTTTGGGTCACACCCGGCGATGCACAGGGGTTACTCCTGGCTCTGCACTCAGAAAATACTCCTGTCAGTGCTAGGGGGACCATATGGGATGCTGGGAATTGAACCCGGGTCGTCGCATGCAAGGCAAACGCCCTACCTGCTGTACCTATTGCTCCAGCCCCAAGATCTATTTCTAGAACAGATTTACCTTGGTTTATTCAGTTAGGATTTCCAGAAGAATCCCTCCAAATCTAACCAGATTAAAGTATTTTTATATGTATAATGTGTGTGGCACAGTTTTTTCAAATATATTTATATAAATATGAAAGTTCCAAGTTCCATATTTATAATATCGTTTATACTTACAGAATTTCAAAGCAATGAGACTATATGTACTTGAGGATAATGCCAACTGGTTAACTCTAATTTTTTAAAGATTAAATAGATTAGATTTAATTTTAGATTAAATAGATCCTCTATTGACTTCAGTCAATAGAGAAGTAACTGCTCCAAATCATGCAACCAACTTATGACTGCATGTAAGAACCAAGACTACAATCCATACAATCAGAGTCCCATTTCCCAACTCAACATATTAGAGATCACCCCTTCAGTCCTCAAAGAGGACTGAAATTTATGCTTTCATCATTAGCTGTTTTAGGTGAGACTCTTGGTGGGAACTACTTTTTTTTTGCTTTTTGGGTCACACCTGACTATGCACAGGGGTTACTCCTGGCTCTGCACTCAGGAATTACTCTTGGCAGTGCTCAGGGAACCATATGGGATGCTGGGAATTGAACCCAAGTTGGTTGAATGCAAGGCAACCGCCCTACCTGCTGTGCTATCGCTCCAGCCCCGAGGGGGAACAATTTTTATTGGTATGTAATTACATATATTCAGAGTTAGGCAACCGTTCCCATTATCAATTTTATAACACTTTCATCACTCCAAAAAAGAAACCACATACGTTATTCACAACTCTTTAACCACCTAAACATCCACCCACAGCCCTACTTTGTCCATAGATCTGTTATTTTGGACTTCTCATATAAATAAATTATGTGTCAGTCTTTTTGACTCATCTCTTTCACTTAAAATGTTTTTAAATTTACCAATGCTGTAGAATGGCTCAGGACTTAATTTCTTTTTACCAAATAATATTTGCTATATGATTATACCACAATTTATTTATCTAAACACTAGCTGATGGATATTTGAGTTGAGTATAATGTTGCCAGAATATTTTAATTGCTTTTGTATGGACACATGTTTATGTCCATATGGGTTGTCTTCTTAAGCTTTTAAGGAACTTTCACACTTTCACAGTGGCTATACCATTTTCCCTTCCCACTGACATGCATGCATATTCCAGTATTGCCACATCCTTGATAAAGCTTTTTATCATGGGTCTTTTGTACTATAAACTTCAAGCTGTGAAGAGGTCTCTCATTGCATTGCTAACTTGCATTTTTCTGATGACTAAAGATTTTAGGACACTTTCAATTGCCATTTAATATATCTTCTTTAAAGAGATGTCATTCAGATCCTTTCCTCTTTTTAAAAACTGGATTGGCTTTTTATTGTTGAACTGTAATAGTCCTTCAAATATTTTTGTTACAAGTCTCTCAAAGGATAGATGATCTGAAAATATTTTCATTCTGTAGATTACCCTTCTTCTTCCTTGATGGTATCCTTTGAAGCATAAAATCCTTCCACTTCCAAGTCAGAGAAGCAGTGCAATAGGCAGAGTGCTTACCCTTGCATGCTGCTGACCCACTTTGATCTCTAGCATCCCATCTGGTCCCAAGTACACTATCAGTGATCCCTGAGCTCAGATACAGGAATAAGTCCTAGGCACCACTGATGTGTCCCAAATTTTTTTTAATGTTTCTAATGCTCTTCAGGCAGGAATACTAACCCTGAGACAAGAACAATCCCAACATTTAAATTTTATAAGTCTTATTTACTACATATAGAAACTTATACAAAAGCTCTATTTATTTATAGAGATAAAATTTGGTTGATAGAATACAATAGTAAAAATAAGCACACAAGGCTATAGATACAGGAGAGAAAGCTTGCCTTGTATGTAGACAACCCTGGTTTTAATCCTGACACTATGTATGGTCCCCCAAGTACCACCATGGATCACTCCTGTGCATAGGGCTGGGGGAAAAACCCCTGAGCACCACCAAGTACTGCCCCAATCCTCCCCCAAATCATCTAAATTGAGAGATAAATAAAGCAGTAAAGTATGTGGGAGAAGGTTCCAAAATAAGGTAACACCACCTAGTTATAAACCCTGTATCTAGGAAATTAGGAGCAACCTAAATAAATAAATTAGCTAAAAACATCAAAATTAAGTAACTTACCCACATCTCTTCTATCTAGATCCCAAAGAGCAAGGTGAAGTGGGGAAATGAATAAACATACACATGTAAATCTATAAGCACTTAATAATTGTCCTCTATAGTTCTCATTTCAGTAACTGAATAATAATTTCCAATATATGAGTATTGCCTATTAGACATCTATATGTCAAGGCAACTCAAATGCAAAGTGTCTAAAATGATCTTTTTACCTTAAATGATAAAATTTAAAATTAAATTTAAAATCACCATGTTCCCTGTTTCCTAATCACCAACCATTCTGATTTGTTCTTCGTGTGTTGTTCCCTATTGGGTCAATGATGTGCTCATCTACTACCTTTCATGGAATCATACAGTCAAATTTATCTGTGACACAATATTTGGCCTATTGTTTCAGAATCCTACTTCCAATTTTTCACCATCTGTTTTGCTACGATGATTTTGAGGTTTAAAAGAGAAATAGTAGGAGCTGGAGCAATAGCACAGCAGGTAGGGCCTTTGCCTTGCATTCAGCCAACCCAGGTTCAATTCCCAGCATCCCATAGGGTTCACTGAGCATCGCCAGGGGTAATTCCTGAGTGCAGTGCCAGGAGTATATTCTGCGCATCGCCAGGTGTGACCCAAAAAGCAAAAAACAAACAAAAAAAAAATAAAACTGTAATAGTAATAAAAGGGCACTAACAGGTTATCTTCAAAAGGCACAATATCAGGATCTTTGTGTGAAATCTTCACAAAACATCACTGTAAGATAATCCCTCAATTTTAGAGATTAAAAATACCAATCTTCTTAAAAGAGTTTCTAATCTAAGAAAACTGGATGTCATGTGTACACCTCTTACTTTGTAGCAGTAATCAAGTTGACATATGACACATCAACCTTACAAGAAACCTATTATTAGCATCTCATCCAAGAACAATATAAGGCTTAGAGCAATTAAATCATTCCCTAATGTCATATAACTAATAAGAATGGGGTCTATCTATTCCCACAATGAACTTTTGATCATTACATTTATTTCTTTTACTTTGCTATTTTTATTGCTGATACTATTTTTCTGTCTGTCTTTCTCTGTCTCTATAACACCCCTCATACTTCTCTAAGTAAATTTCTTTCAAAAAAACTATTTTATTCTCTAAAAAAAATGTAAAAAAAAATCTTCCCTTAGAGACAAGAAAGAGAAAGACCAAGAGTTCCCTTATTCCCAAGATTAGAGAGCTGCTAAGTGAAGAGTTCAATATCTGAACCTGGACAACCTAAATCAGAAGTTCATAGCCACTACTTACAGATAGGTGGTTTCTTCAGCGTGCCACAAGAACAGGATGACTGAATACTTAACTTCAAATCAACAGTCATTTAAATTGACCTCTATAAAAAAAAAGTCACCCTTTAGGGGACGAGGAGGCAGCTGAGTTCAGGGGTGTTGCACACACTCAACCTCAGTCTGATTGTGAAAACAGCATAGCCTAGAGTATTGCCAGGTGTAACCTGGAGGCCTAAGCACTGCCCAGCAGCACCTGACCACTGCAGGCAGGCCCAAGCAGGACCTCATTCTTGGGCCCTACACTGAATACTGTCACAGGTGACACCAAGGCCTCTGAGGGCGGCTTGGCAAGTTCCCTATAGTAAAAAATCATCGATCAAGTGGACACGTAAAAGAATTTCATTTTTGGGCTAAAGAGACACCGAATTCCACCAGGAGAGATCCCTGAGTGCAGAGTCAGGACTAAGTCTATAACCAGGTGTAGCCAAAAAAAATAAATAAATAAAATAAATTAAAATATACCACCCCCACCTTGTCTACAAGGATCTCAGTGATTCTATCAATTATACTGTTAAAATTGTTATTTAGCTTCTAGAAGTTTTATCAATAAATAGGAAATGATTTTCTATTATGAGCTATTCATACTAGAAACTGCATTCTCATTCCATAACTAAGCATCCTTTTCTTGGCGATTACAAGCTTTTTAACTGATTCTCAAAATTAAGTATCAGAAATGAATTTCTGAATAAAGAATAGGCCATTCCAAATGAAACCAGTTTTTTTGTTTTGGTTGGGGGGCAGAAATCAAGGAAAAGACATTTTAGTATTTCTTATGTGTTTTGTGTTCACAAATATTTTAAAAGGAAATTCACACACACACACACACACACACACAGACACACACAGACACACACGTGTGAGTGTTGCCAGGAAGGCAACCCAGGGTTTCACATATGCAAGATTAGTGCTCCACTGATGAGCTACAACCCACCCAAGAAATGAAATATATAAGGATTTCTGCTTGACAGAAATATGGCAAAAGTATAGTTACTTTCTTACAATTTCGTTCCAGTAATTAAGACAGTAGAAAATACAAAGTAGATATATATGCAGGAAGGGTACTAAAGTTGAAGAAGGATCAGCCAGCTCTTCAGGTTACTAAACAAAATTTTTTAAAAAATTAAGTATACAAACATGAGAAAGAAATTAAAACACCGTACTTTTATCTCCAGTTAAGATGGATCGGTAAAATCTGTCCTTCTTTTTCTTCTCCTCTGGGTTTGGAGGTAGGGGTTTGGAGCCATGGTTCAGAGCTCCAGCTTCTTTGCCGCCAGCTCCAATCATAGTGCTAGTGTTTCTCATTGGAGGGGCTGGGGGTTTGTCTTGAATGTCGAGGCCGTTATTTGACATGGTCACCACCAGCAGCAGCTACTGGAATCAGAAGGAACACAGCTTTTACTTTTAAGCAAAAAGAAATACACATTTCAAGTTTCAAGATTCAAACTACGCGATTCTGGGGCCAGAGTACAGTGGGGAAGACATTTGTCTTATTATGGCCAACCTAGGCTTGATCTCAACACCCCAACTGGTCTTCTGAGCACTGCCAGGAGGGATCTCTGGACACCACTGGGAGTGTCCAAAAACAAACAAATACGCAATTCTTCCTCCAAGGCCTATCTCAAGCCCTTTTACCACACACCATCACAACTGCTAGCTTATATTGACAAAAATATTCCAAAAAAGTAATTTCTATTCAACGCCATGCAGTGTCAAAAAAAATTCACAAGGTTTGTGACTGGAAAGGCAGTACAGTGGGTAGGGTGCTTGCCTTGTATGCAGCTGACCAAGGTTCAACCCCTGCCACCCAAGGTCCCCTAGCACCACCAGAAGTGATTCCTGAGTATAGAATCAGGAATAACCTTCTGAGCATCAACAGGTATGTCCCAACCCCAAACCCCAAACAAACAAACAAAACAAACAAGTTCTCAAGGTTTTCTCTATTCCTTGAAGGTATTGGAGAGTCAAAATATACCATAATGTAATTTAAAAGGCAGAAACTGATGCAAATAAATTAGGGATCAATCTCAGTTTCACTTACTAGACTTAGAGAAATTCCTTAATGACCTCACTTCCATTTATTAATTCACATGAAGATAAAATAAAGCAGCTAATAGTATTTCAGAGTGCATTATCTGTCAATGTCTAATTTTATAATCCCAGGGAAATTAGTTTCTCTCTATGGAACAGATATATCACTGTATGAAGGGTAATTAAAGTTGCCTATTTTGCAAATAGTTTTATGAGAACACAGTTACACCATTACATTTTAAATTGCTTATTTCTTTTTTCACATTGCAAAGGCAGAGATGAGTAGTTACAATAGAGATTATGTATCCACCTAAAATATTTATAGTTTCTTCACAAGAAACATTTGTAGATCCCTCCCCTGTATTATCTCTATAATATCTACTTCCTTTTAAGTGTGACCTTGTTCTAAATATATGACGGTCTCTGAGTAACCACCCTGTCCTATCTCCAGTGCTTTCACAAAATAGAAGGAATACAATCTAAAAGAAATGGGGAAAGAGCTATTACATGGGGTCAATACTTATTTGTGTAATTACTGGTGGGGGGTGGGGGAGGCTAAGTATTGCTCAGGGAATCCAAGATCAATTCTGGTGATCCTCTGTCAACCAGTTCACCAGACGATGTAGCCATATGGTGCTGCTTGAGTCTCGTGGTCCTGTGAGCCATCAGGGCCACCACTGCATTTTTCAGGGGCCTTCACCAGGGACCTGGATCAAATCTGTGGCTGTCTTGTGCCTTATATGCACCCTGACCCCCTCCTGAGCTTTGTCCCCAGGGCCAGTGCAGTAATAGTTCTAAAAGGATGCTATTAACATAAACTTAGAACTTCAACAATGGACAGATATGAATGTATCCAGAGTAAAAGTTTCTCATTTCATACGGCAGTTAAAAAAAAAAAGTATCTTTTATGTCACACGGCCACTATTGTGGTCACGCAATTTTGGATTTCTGATATTTTACTAATTAAGTCTAGAGGGATTTCTGCCCAAAGCCACATAGTTCTGAAATTGGTTTGTGTGTTTCTGGAGCCATGGCCATGCTGGAGAGCCACTCATGGGGGGCAACTCGTAGTCTCGATGGGGCAGGAAGGATGTGCCAGTTCCGTCCCCTATCCCATGAGGTCACAGTTGCCCCGCCACTGCCGGCTCATACCTGGCTGTCCAATAAGCTCTGAGGCAGCAGCGGGGAGGAGGGGAAGGTGGAAGAGACAGATACCCTTTCCCTCCCGGAGGGCACGGCACTGTAGCTTAATGCGTAGTCCATGCACATTTCTGCCAAAAGCTGCTGGGTTCCGAATTAGGTCCATGTGCCTCTGGTGCCCTGGCCTTGCACCAAAGTTTGAATTTGAATGAGTGTCCCAGCTACAGCCACATACTAGGCAAGTGCTTAATTTTGTACTATATTTCTGGTCCAAGAGACATCCTTTGCTATACTTATGTCTGTGAATATATCTTCCTTGGTAATGTCTGCATAAGATTTTAGCTCATTTTCTAGCAGAGTGCCTGGTTTTCTGTTTATGTTTTGAAAATTCTTTGCCTATTCTATATGGTAGTCCATTGTTGCTTATATGATGCTACAAATATGTCATCTCAGACTGTAGTTTGTATTTTCATATTAACGTGGTCTTGTATAAAGCTGAAACTTGTGATTTTTGTAAAGTTATTTATCATTTATTTTCCTCTACGGATTATGCTTTTTGTATTCAAATATAAAATTTTTGGAACAATTCTAAAAAAAGTATCTTTTAAAAAAATTATTTTATTAAAGCACCATGATTTACAAAGGTATTCATAGTTGAGTTTTAGACATACTACGTTCCAGCACCAACCCCACCACCAGTGGCAACTTCCCTTTACAAATATTCCCCACCAGTGTCAACTTACCTTCACCAATGTTCCCAGGTTCCCTCCCCCAAACCCTGCCCCAGCCTTCAATTTTGAGTGGCACCTTTTTAAATTCAGCTGTCAAACTTTGGGTCTCATGACTTCAGTAACACCAAGGTTTGGATATTAGCTTGGTCATTCACTAACACCACCGATATAACTGACTCTCCTTGATGCTGCACCCAATGCTTCTCATCTGTCTCTTCTCCCCTCCCCTCTACTCTACATCTTTCCTTCTCCTCCTGGTACACAGGCGCCAAGGGTGATCTAGATGTCCTCCCTCCCCAAAGCCAATACCCAAAAGTCCATGGGTTTCCTGTATACAAATAATGAAAGAGATGTTAAAAAAACAATTGTGTCTCAGAAAATCAAGTACCTTGGATTCAGTTAAACTAAAGAGATAAAGAATCTATCCAAAGAAATCTACAGAACACTACTTAAAAAATAAGAGAGGACACATGGAAATGGAGGCGTTTTAATTTCTACCGCTTTGTAGTACAGTTTGAGGTTGGGGAAGTTGATGCCTCCCATCTTCTTTTTCCAAGGACTGCTTTAGCTATTTGTGGGGTTTTGTTGCTACAAATGAATTTCAGGAGTGTTTGATATATTTCTAAGAAAAATGTTGCAGGTATCCTTATAAGGGCTGCACTAAATCTGTCTAATGCTTTGGGAGTATTGCTACTTTGGTGACGTTAATCCTCTGATCCACGAGCAGGGGATGTGTCACCATGTTCTTGTCTCATCTCTTACTTCTTGAACTAGTGTTTTATAGTTTTCTTTGCATAGGTTCTTTCAACATTGTATTCAAAGTTCTGGCAATAGCAATCAGGCATGAAATGGAAATCAAAGGGATTCAAATTGAAAAGAGGAAGTAAATTGATCTCAATTCGAAGGTAACATAACGATATAAGTTGAAGACCAAAAAAAAAGTTCCCACAAAAAAGCTCCTAGAAACAACAAACCAATGCAGCAAAGTGGCTAGCTACAAAGTCAATTTACAAAAGTTGGTTGCATGTCTATATACAAATAATGAATCAGAGAAGAAAGAGATCAAAGAATCTTTATCATTAAAATAGTGTCAGGCCAGATCTGCCCTTCCTTCCTGAAATGGCACAACAGCATGCCTGTGAGCCTAGGGGCCCCATGTTTCTGTCCTGCACCATCAAATAGTACCTGGAGGCCAGGAATTGGCCCCTTCTTACATCAGTCTAGCCTCCAAATCCAGGTGCATGCCCCTCAGAGCTGAACCTGCCCCTCCCCTCACTGAAACCCCATCCAGTCACATGCCTGCAAGCCTGGGGGCCCAATCCTTATGTTCTGCATGTCATATTTTACCCATGAGCCAAAAATTGGCCTTTTTTTACACCAGTCTATCCTCTAAACCCAAAACAACACAAATGCTGGTGAGTCCATGAGAAAACACTGCAACAAAAATCACATATTGGAGGCAGATGGGATGTAACACTCCTATTTCCCAGCCTTAAATCTCACTTAACTCAAGTGAATAACTAGTTGACAACTTTCTGGACATACTCAATACTGCATGGTAAGGAAAATGACCTGAAGGGCAACTATATTGTTAGTAGTTGTCTGGTGTATATATATATCCCAAAAAACTCAATTATTTTAACAGTTTTCAAGTACTAGGACTATAAAACTCCACTATGAACATTCACAAAACTAGAATGCAATGGAAAAATAAAAGAACTCAGCTGCAGTCACAGATGGGACAGAAACCCAGGTGAGAAGTCTGCAAGCCCATCAAAATGTTTGAGCCTGGTCAATGAGGAACTAAAATCAGCATTCACTGCAACTACAACTGAAATAAAACAAGCACTTGCCAGCAAAATTAAGAAATTACTACTCAACTTATTGGAAAGCCAGGTATAAGCCGGTGGTGAAAGGGCAACTGCAGCCTCATGGGAGGGGTGGCGGTACCGGCTCATCCTTCACGCCCTACCAAGGCCACGAGTTGCCCCCCACAAGCGACTCTCTGGCACGGCCATGGCTCCAGAGGCACAGAAACCAATCTTGTAATTATCTGGCTCTTGACAGAAATCCCTCCAGACTTAATTAGTAAAATATCAGAAATCCAAAATTGTGTGACCACTATCATGGCCACACGACATCAATATGGTTCTCATAACCAGTTATAGAAAACAAGTTATTTCACAATACCTTTTCAGCAGTTCTGATTGTTGGATGGAAATTCTAAACAATAACGGTGCATCTTTTGTGGAAATTATAAATGTAATCAAAGTAGAGAGAGAGTTTTAAGTAGAAATCATCTGCCTCACAGGCATTGGGAGGGGTGGGAGAGGGGGTATATTGGGGTTCTAGGTGATGAAAAATTAGTAGTGGCGAAGGGAAAGGTGTTTGATCATTGTATAACCAAGACTTAAACCTGAAAGATTTCTAACTTTTCCCACAGTGATTCAATAA